CCCCCCCCCCCCATGAGTTTACAAACCATAATCTGCGAGTGTATTTCTTTTTTTCCCCGTGCTATATTGAGAAAGCCAGGTTTTTAAAAAATCAGTAAACTTTATCAGGAGACCCTTCAGGCAAGTTGGATGGATGAAGATCGTTGTTCTTGAAAAGTAGAATTAAAAATTACTTAAATGTATTGATAATCTCCTTTTCAGGTGGCATTGGCATTATATTCTCTATAGCATGGTTCCTGTTGATTAGGGAGAGGCCAACAGAGCACAAAAGAATCTCCATCGCAGAAAGAGATTATATCCTTCGGAACATAGAGGACCATGAAAGCAAACAGAAGGTAGATCTAGTGTGAACATTTTGTTTAAGTCAATGGCATTTTATGGTACTTCTGAATAGTGTCCATGGCAATTGGATGTTATCTGTAACACTATTGCTCGTCGTCAGAATGATTGATTTGATTACCGTGATGGCTTTTACTTCATTTTAAGTGTCTATAGTATTAAAACAAACATCTAGGTCAATTAAGAATTTACTCAGTGCACCTTTCCATAAACTCTTTTCTTGTTTTTCTTTGATTTCAGTCACTGAAGATGCCCTTGGGTAAAATCCTCACGTCCATGCCGGTGTATGCAATCATAGTCTCTGGGTTTACTGTTGATTTCAGCGGGATGCTGTTCTATCTGTATATACCATTGTATCTCTCTGAAGTCATGTTCTTCGATGTGTCATCGGTGAGTTTATAAGCATGATAAGGTTTCCGCAATATAATGTCAAGAAAACAAAGCTTAATATACTTTGATATTGGGGTTCTTTTGCCCTCGATTTTATTTTATCTTATATCTTTGCTGAGTGTAAACACATTTAAATGAACATCACAAAATCATAAGGAACTAATGTCGACATTAGAGCCATATTATTAAATAATCTATATATACTATGTGGCTTTAATAAGCAGAAAACACCTAGGTAAAAAAGAGTTACTGGTAACGTTATAGTTCTCAGTGCAAACTTTTCTGAAATCGTCAGTCGAACCAAAAGGAAGGCAGCAGTCTTAATTCCATGGGTCACACAAATATATGTCAGCTCTTTTGGCAGATTTGATCATAACCATTTGGACTTTCTTGAAGTTTGGTTTGTTCAAGGAGTTTCAGATCAATCTGTGGCAGCTCGGCCAGCCCGTCTAGTTAAATGTGTACTTCATAATAAGATGCCTGGATTCTTCTTCAAGTTGTTACTATGTGTTTTTGTGAAGGGGATAAATCTATGCCGGCCAGAGACATTTGGTTGTTATACGCAGACGACAAGTGTTTTGGTATTGGAAAAGGGATATTATTTTAGCTAACGTACCAATCCGTCTGCTGGAATATTGTATCCTTTTCTAGCTGGAATGGCCCCGAATGACAGACCATTATTTTTTATGTAATTGTTTTCACACCATTATCAACACAAGTTAGGTCATTTAGGAGAAGGGCTTCTAACACTACTTGTCAGAGGCCCACTTCTTAAATGGTCTAAATTGTGTTGGTCGGGTGAAGAATAACTACAACCACACAATCAATACAATTAAAGCTACGGTTAGAAATGTAGGAAGACATAATATTAATCATTTTATTTATTCAGTTTTTATTTTTAAAATGTTCAGACTTGTTAGTGTCGTTTCTCATTTGAATCTTACAAAAATATTGCTTCTAATTTTTGACAATAACTGTTCTCAATTCAAGTCAAATGAATTCTAAACTTGTGTCCACAGAATGGGCTTACAGCTTCGCTGCCCTTCATTTTCCAGTTTATTCTACAAATCGTCACTGGAAGCATTGCTGATGCAGTTGTTCAAAGGACACAGTTATCTATTTCCATAGCCAGGAAACTGTTTGATGCTGTTGGTATGCATTGAATTTATTCGTTTCGTTTATAACATGTTAACCTTATTTTTTCTTCAATCAACAGCTCGTTTTTGTGTGCAGGAAACTTGGCATCATTCAAGCGCTTAGGTAGACATTTTGAGCAATATTATTAGACTTTGTGACCAGAAAAGAAGTTTAAGGGGAGGG